CTCCTAACCCGTGATGCCACTGACGAGGTCACTCCGCGCCTGGGATCTCGCGCGAATGCAGTTTTCGGCGTGCCTTGGCCAAGGTGCAAACTGACGCGCGAACCTTCACTGTTGGCCTCAATTCACCACAGCTTGACCTCAATCCGTCCAATGAGATTCCCACATTAGTAGACTAGCTTCATTTACTAGGTTGGCCTCAATCCATCTGGACACAGACTTTAAGGCGGTGTCTGTCGCTACACACAACTTCGGACCCGACCCGACTAGGGAACGGACTGCACTTGTCCGAGAGCCAAATCTCCTCCTACCTATTCTTCCAATTCTTCTGTACAGAATAAACTCTTCCTACCAATCTGGCCTTCTCAAGACTTCTCTCGTACCTTGAGAAACCGGGCCTGGACGATCGCAGCTGTTAGGGTTAATCTTATTAACCTTAACGCTCCCCGATAAATGTGCACCAAATCTTGACTGATTCACCATACGGAAGGCACGGGTACTAGCTAAAATCTATTTAATATTGATAATAAAGAGGAGATATGCCAAAGTATACATGGAGGCTACCATACCTTTAGGCAGACCGCAAATCCTCAAACATCGAAATACCCCTCACACGTCCATGAACGTCCAACGAAAATACCACTGCTCGACAAATGACAACTCAACGCCCTGACTAGCGCGCCTATCGTTCCTGGCCGATGGGGACAGTTCGCAGAGAATATAAATGCATTATACATTTTATATTTATAAAAAGCTCAAGGAATTCGATGTCATCGTTAAGTTTCCTTTATTTAACAGTTTCTGTCCTTCACATTGCCCGAAATTGGACCATATCAGAGCTGATTTTCAACTATTACTAATTCGATTTTTTCGTGTTCGTGCATCTCAGATCTTAGGTTTAATTGGCTAAACAGCAAGCCGCTGGCAATCCCAGTAAAATATATTCGGAACCAGTAAACTTACATTGGGCGTGTCCATCACACTTGGTTGAAATCCCTTAGTCCTATTACTGTGCGACTAACCTTAATCAGCGTCCACGCGAGAATGCTTATCTCTGTGCCTAAGCGCACTGAGCCCTAAAAGGGATCGATAAAATCGATAAAGAGGCGCGCATATACACGCGGCGCTCCAAGGGTTGCGTGTGCGTCTGCTGGCGCCTAAAATCATCAGGCGCCATGCTGTCGCGTCAAAAGGCAACGAATAATCTGCGGACTTCTTTGCTGGCCGTTCCTTCCATCGAGGGAGCTACCCTGGAAGCCTGTCAGCGGTCGAACAAGGAAATCTGGAAGGCAGGCCTCTCCTACGACTCAAGAGAGCTTGATGTGGTTTTTGGGGAACTGAGACCGGAACACTTTTTTCTGTCCGGTGTCAGTCCTAAATTAATGGATGCCTACTGTAGATCCATTGTGATCCCCAAATCCCGGACACGGCTTCAGATACAGGGAGCCAATGGTGATGGTAATCGGCCCGTGTTCTTGAACAAAGATGGTTTACAGGTGCCTAAAAGCACCGCAGATGGCGGAACTACCAGACTTCCAGCCATGGAAAATCAGCGGTTTAAGGCCTACCTGCGTAAATACTTTCCTCACGACAATATCGTTGTTCAGCCCATGGACCAAATCATGAAAAGTAAGCCCAATTTTTCCCATTCGTTCATTTGAATTGAGGTGAAAACCAGTTTGCAGGTACGATTTGCAGTAACTAATTGTTTAAAAGATGAAAAATGCCAGGCCTAATTATATTCCAACCAGAAGACATGTAATCACCTACATCTCCAAATGGCAGGAGTATCGTTAAATATAAAATGGTGCCTGGACTATATTTGTAAAATGCAGGCTAGTTTTCAGAAAAGTGACGTCACTTGTCACAATGACTGCGACATCTTAAATTCTATCAAATGACAAAAGGCCACAAGTCGATTGGAACAAACCTATAAATCCGAAGAGCTTTTAAAATCCCCTTATTAAGAATAGCATGGAGGAAGATATTTTGTGGAAAACTGAAACAAATGGATATTTGAAAAATTTTCGATAGCTAAACTTTTGAAAGGAATAACACCAGTTAGAAAATCAAAACATTTTTGAAATAGAATATTGTCGCAACTATTTGTTACGCAACGGATAGGTGCTGTTCAGTGGTTTCAATGCAAACTATCGTTTAAGATAGCAAAACTATTGACGCTTCGAGTGAGTATTTCGTCTTTGTCATCGAAAACGCAGCTGGTCTGACGCACCTTTGTGAGCTTTTTGGTTAGCATTCATAATTCGTTGTTACTTTTTGATTTTAGTAGTTTATATTTCTAAACTGCTGCGAGGTGCATTAAAATTTGGATTGGGTTTAGGTTCAGGTTCATGGCTAAGGTTCAAAGTTGATGTTAAAATTACGGTTACGCTGGTGATTCAGTTTAGGCTTGGGGATAAGAGTTTAAGGCTAGGTTAGAAATTCTACCAGGCAACTCAAAAGGTAGCAGAAAAAACCGAAAAATTCCTACATGTGCGTTTCTGCGTTAAGACTGTCAAATTACAGCTACCCACCGTGAAGGGTGGTGTTTCTTTAACACATCAGTTTTCTCAATTTCCCTAATAGCCCCCGGTGAGTTACGTAGAACGTAACCTTCCCCGGTCGGCAACGCAAATAAATTGATGGGTTACAGTAAGCGATGTCTTCACAAGAGACTATACAGAAGACACATGGATTGAGCAGTTTTCACTAGGATAATCAATACTATGGAGTTAAAAATAAGGTCTCATTCTTGGCAGGCGTCAAGTTTGCTGTGAGTGTGTTGGCCTACTTATTAATTCGCACTCCGGTCCAATTCTTACTTCGAATTAAAGCATTGCATTACTTCGTGAATGAGAAAAAACAATGCAGGTTCTTTTTTACAAATCGTATATGGCAGTAAGGCATAAGTTCATAAAAAATGGGTACCAAGTAGTCTTTCGATCAATGTTTATTCTTTTTCGAAAAGGATCTATCTTATCCCCGGGGAAAAAAGGCATTATTATCTAATGCGGCAGACACACGCTGTAGTCCAAACCAAAATGCAAATATTAAAAAAAGTTATTGCGAGCTGTATCGAATACGTCCAGCCAATTATTCGTATGGCATGGTCAGAGGTGACTGCATAGTGCCTGGTAGGTGGATGAAAGGTCGATAACATCTAAGAAAAGAGAGCCCGGGGAAGGGCACAAAAAATAGGACTCTAGGAGCCTTGCACTGCTTTCCATGAAGATTAAGGTTAGCGTTGAGGTTTTAGTCAAGCTTTTAGATGAGGTTGGTATTAGGGTTTACATTATGACTGAGCATCATAAGGTGTCCTTGCGAGCTGTATCGAATAAGTCTAGTCAATTATTTATATGGCATATTTGAAGGCGACTTCGTAGTGCCTGGTAGGCGGGTGAAATGTCGGTAAGACCCGGAAACAGGGAGCCTCGGGTGGGGGTGGGGAGAAGACACACGAATAGGGTCCCTCATATTCTGGGAGCTTTGCGCTACTTTCCGGGAACATTAGGATCAGCATTAAGGTTGGGATTAGGATTAAAGCGGCGTTTTGGTTGGGGTAATGGTTTAAATTACTGCTTGAGCTGAGGTTAGTTTTGGGGGTTTGCATTATGTCTTGACAACATCACCTACATTACAACGGGGAGGTGCTTATTCCCTCAGGTAAAACGGGCAACATTCCAGCAAGGTTAAACATGCCTGTGGCTCTACCCTTACCATAACACATACCTTCCCCCTTACCCCAAACATAACTTTACCGATAACCTTATTCTCAATAGAGATTAGTCCAAGCTTC